TTAACTCCCCCACACTTTTAAGTTGTATCATCTGATTCCTCATGAGTCACTCGAGAGGCCAGACGGCATGCCCAGTGGTAGGTGGTTGCTTTAATATAACTTATATGCCTTGTAACAAATTGCTATAAACTTATTTTTCCTAGAAATGAATTTAATGACAACACAACATATGAAAACTTATGAGATACAGAAAAGCAGTATTTAAGTTTATAGCAGCTACTGCCTACATCAAGAAGTTGAAAAGGCATCAAATAATGATCTAAGAATGCATCTCAAAGACCTAGAAAAATAACAAACCAAACCCTAATTAGTACAAGGAAAGAAATAATTAAAACTAGAGAATAAACAAAATTGAAACAAAGTAGTGAAATGAAGAGCTGCATTTTTGATAAAAATAAACAAAATCAATACACTATTGAACTACCCAGAACAAAAAGAATACAAGTATTTTTAAGAGGTATTTTTCATCTTTTCATTTTATTTAATTTTATATTATTTGAGACACAAAGAGAGCATGTTCCCATCCACTGGTTCACTCCTTAAATGCCCACAATAGCCAGGAGGCCAAAAGTAGAAACTCAGTCCAAGTCTCCCACATAAGTGGCAGGAACTTGACAACTGGAATCATTCCTGCTGCCTCCCAGGGTCTGCATTAGCAGCAAGCTGGAATTGGGAGCTGGGAATCAAATCCAGGCATTCTAATGTGGGAAGCTAATTTTCTAAGTGCTATGCCAAACACTCCTCTTCTATTGAATTTATAGTAACATATGCATAGGGGTGCTGAAGAGTAGACTAGGAAATGTAGCACACTACATTTAACACCCAACTATTAAGTCACTTACTGTCTCTATCACCTTTCTGAGAAATACTGGCAGTAATGGGTTCTTACCTAGCTTGGGCAGAGTAATATAAGAGGTCACCTTCAAAATAAAAAGGTAAATTTATATAATTATCATGCCAATTCTGGGGGCAGATTATGTGTGACTTGTGCATTTCCAAAGCAGAGAGTCAGATTAGATAACCTGATTAATAGTTACTCCAATAGACAGTTATCTGGATACTCTACTGTTAAGGGAACAAATCGACAGTTCAGCAGTGATGTGGCCATTAGGACACCCCTGGAAAGATGCTTGCTTTTGCTGAAGAGCTGAGAAGATTTGCATGTTATTTACCTACTGACTTCCAAGTTCTCATATTTTCATTTTACCATCAGAAGGTGGTAATATCTCAGTATTTCATTTTTCCTATAGTAGCTGAGGAAATGATGCAGGAGTAAGCTCTTGCTTTGTGTGTATGAATATCTATTTATTTGTACATGAATTTAACCCACCCCCCTGAAACTGTTACAGTTGACTAATTTAGAGATAGTAAGTATGCCATATATATTATCCACTTGATAATAACATTTGGCACCCTAAGTAAGCAGTGGTCCAGCTTTAAAAATACTCCATGTCTGAGTCAGCGCCACAGCTCACAGCCTTCACTGATGGCCATTTCTGCTCCCATTTCTTAAGTAGAAACCTGTATATGGTTTCAGTTCTTAAGAATACCATGTGCTGGGGCCAGCGCCGTGGCTCACTTGGTTAATCCTCCACCTGTGGCACCGGCATCCCATATAGGCGCCGGGTTCTAGTCCCAGTTGTTCCTTTTCCAGTTCAGCTCTCTGCTGCGGTCCAGGGGGGCAGTGGAGGATGGCCCAGGTGCTTGGGCCCCTGCACCACATGGGAGACCAGGAGGAAGCACCTGGCTCCTGGCTTCGAATCGGTGCAGCGCGCTGGCCGTAGCAGCCACTTTTGGGGTGAACCAACAGAAAAAGGAAGACCTTTCTCTCTGTCTCTCTCACTGTCTAACTCTGCCTGTCTAATAAAAAAAATACCATGTGCTGTGCTGATCAAAAAAGATTCCCATTTCCTTGTTTTTCCTCTTCTCATTTCTAATCTAGCATGGTGAAGTAGTCAACAGTTTCTTTGTGCCTGTATTAAAGATGACAAAAGTACTTGATTCTACCAGAATTAATTTGCAACTAAAAGGAAACATTTCTTGGAACCTTTCATTGTTATGGTTTAAACTTCCTTTTAAAACATAACTTTCTATAAGTTAAAATTAGCATTTTCATAGATACTAGCCAAGTCAATCAAATGTTAACCTCAAAACATGATTAGGGAGGAAGTTGAAAATTTTGTTTCTTATTTTGCTGCAGAGCTGCTGCTTCATGGTATAAAACAGCACAAGCAAATGCAGTATATTATAAAACTAAGATAGTAGTACAGTGCCAGAGAAAGAACAATCCTAACAAATGCTGTCCTGCATTCCCAGTTACTTCCAATGGAAAGATCATTACATATTTTGACCCCAATCCAGGGATGAGTATAGCAAGTTACATTACATTATGTTACATTAGGCTTAAGATAACAATGTTATCCTTGAATTACATTGTTTGTCTAACTAGTTTTTACCACAGATAGCTTCATGTATTCTGAATACTAATGCCTAGAGCCTAGTATAAAAATCACAAGGTACTGCGAAAAAGATGCGTAGTGTTTATCTGCAATCATTACAAAATTAGGGGATATTTTCTTCCAGCAGCAAGGGTGGAAGTAGTGCTTCTTCCCATCAATATTGCTAGAAGTTGCTATCTTAAGTCCTGTCCACTGCTAATTTAAGGTAACTGTGGTGGATTTAGTTATTCCCTGCTAGTTCATGTAAGGGTTCTACTTTCATTCCTCAATAGATTTTAGGTATTTCTCATAGGTGTCTTCACTCATTAGTTCATTTAGTTCTGAAGGGCTACTCAATGTCATCTTGATCAGCCACCCATCTTCATAACGAGATTTGTTGACAAGTCCTGGGTTTTCTGCAAAGGCTTCATTAATTTCAGTTACTTCTCCTGCTAGAGCTGAACAGAGTTCACTGGCAGCTTCCACACTTTCCAAAGCACCAAGCTCATCTTGTTTTTTCAGTTTTGTCCCAACTTCAGGCAGACTACAATAAACAACATCTTCCAAAGCTCCCTGTGCAAAACTGCTGATTCCCACTGATTCAAAACCATTTGTCTGTTGTTATCCATTATTTTTTGTGTGTGTGAATTTAGGCACCGAGAGTCGAGCGGTTACAGTGTGGGCTGTGAGCAGGCTGCAGGCCACGCTTGCGTGCACTGCATCACTTGCACACAACACCATGTTCACAGGGCAGCCGAGGGTCCCTGTGCTAAGACAAGGCCACCAGACCAGGATGGGGTGAGGTGGGGTGGGGCCCAAACTTAGCTTCTAAAACAGTTATTATCTCACAGCTTCAATGGGCCAGGGGTCCAGCATGTTCTAGCTGGTTCCCTTCTTAGTGTCATAAGGTTGAGATTAAGGTGCCAGGGGACTGTAACCCCATGTGGAGGCACAACTGGACAAAGATGCACTTCCAAGCTCCCGTGGATTGTTGATGGAAATCGTCTCCTTGTGGCCATGGACCCTATGCTATTACTAGTATTACTAGCTCTTGGTAAGGGACCATCTGAGTCCCTAGTGGCCTCTCTTGAGCCTTAACTATGTTGCTCTCCTCACACCATAGCAATTTGCCTCAAAGCCAGTGAAAGTACCATTTCTCTGATGACTCACCTTCTGTTCTAAGAACGCCCTTGCTGTGTTCATGCCTCTCCAAAATTCACACGTAGAAACCGAATCCCCCAGCAAGATGTTATTTGTAGATAAGTTCTTCAGTAAATGATTAGGTCATGGGGTAAAATCCTCATAAAGCAATTAATGCCCTCCTAAAACAGATCCATGGAGCTCCCTCACCCTTCTACCACGTGAGGATGCAGAAGAAAATGGCTGTCTACATGGGCCCTCAGACACTAAATACACCCGCTCCCTTATCCTGGACTCCACAGCTACCAGAACTTTGAGAAATGAGTTTCTGTTGTTGGGTAGCCTTAGCAGTTAGGATGTGCAGGTCCTGCATCAGGTTTAAGCATTGGCTCCAGCCCCTGATGCCTGTTCCTACTCATCTGCCAACCGGGAAACAGTAGGTGATAGACCAAAGACTTGGGTCCCTACCGCCCACGTATGAGATATGGGTTGAGTTCCCAGCTCATGGTTTCAACCTGCCTCTCCCAGCCATTGCAGGCATTTGGTGAGTGAACCAGTGGATGAGAGATTACTCTGTCTCTGCCTTTCAAGTTAAAAAGAAAAATCTGTTATTTCTAAGCTACCAGTCTGTGCTATGTTCCAGCAGTCTGAACTGGCAAAGATTTTCCTGATTAGTTCAGGCCCACACAAAATAACTTCCCTTATGATTGACTCAAAGTCTATAGATTAGTAACTTAATCATGAAATTTTCTGTTCTGGAATGTGTACCCCAGGGGCAGAATCTTAGGATCTGTTTAGAACTTTGTCTGATATAATCCATTTCCAAAAGTAGAAGGGTGGCCAAGTATTGCTGTGAAAAAGAAAAAGGGAATTGGGACAGTGAGAACACATACAAGGCTTGTGTCACACTATACTAACCTTTGTCAATTCTCTGTGGTATTTTCTCCATGTTAAAGGTGGGCCAGCCTGTGCCGCGGCTCACTGGGCTAATCCTCTGCCTGCGGCATCGGCACTCTGGGTTCTAGTCCCGGTTGGGGCGCCGGATTCTGTCCTGGTTGCTCCTCTTCCAGTCCAGCTCTCTGCTGTGGCCAGGAAGGCAGTGGAGGATGGCCCAAGTGCTTGGGCCCCTGCAACTGCATGGGAGACCAGGAGGAAGCACCTGGCTCCTGGCTCAGATTGGCGCAGCGTGCCAGCTGCAGCTCGCCAGCCATAGTGGCCATTTGGGGGGTGAACCAACGGAAGGAAGACCTTTCTCTCTGTCTCTCTCTCTTTCACTGTCTAACTCTGCCTGTCAAAAAAAAAAAAAAAATGGGCCAACTAAAGCTAAAGACTTGCATCATTTGGTGGTGGTGAGGTATGTTAGCCTATGTATTATTGCTTATTCTCATTTCCTCTGTGCCATACACTGAACTACATACTGTGTATGCACTCCAACTCCGTCTGTTATGGCCCAACAGAAAGCATGGAACCAGCTCTCTATAAGCAGCCACACACATTTGTACTCCCAGACATGTGTGTGCATGCCCGGGCAAAGATACTCTCTCTCTCTCTCTCTCTCTCTCTCTCTCTCTCAAACATACACACACACACACACACACACACACACACCTCTTTGAGGCTGCCGCAGGTATTGCTTATCCCTTTGCACATTCTCATTCAGTTCCTTCCACTCCCAATAAACTCATGTATTTG